TGAATATGCACAGATACGAAGGGAGGGCGGCGACAATATGAAATGACATAGCATCGAAAGTCAAGACTGACCGAAGCTGTTGTACAGGCCACATCAGGAGGAAAAAACAACAGTCAAGGACCAGGTTAATCAGACTGAGGAAGGGTGATTGGGGAATTCACAAGAAACGACCGAGAGGTATGGTCAGGCGATCAACACAAGATTTAAAGAAGTATTTACAGTGGAAAACAGTAGGGACTCCAGGAAATCTGAACAGCGGGGGTTACTCCAGCAAAGTGTGGATGAGGTACATATAACAAGGAGGAAGTGAAGAAGCTGCTATGCGAACTTGACACTCATAGGCGGTGGGACCAGACAACATTCTCGTGGGTCCTTAAAGAGGGAGCAAGAGAGATATTGTGTGTGCCATTAACAAAGATCTCAAAACATCATTTGAAACTGGGGCAACTCCCTGAGGTATGGATGATGGCAATGTAGTCCCATTTTTTTAAAATATGGGAGCGGAGACAGGACATGAGGCACTAAACTACAGACCTGTATCCACTAAACGGTATAGTATGCAGGTCATGGAGAACATCATCAGGAGGGAGAGTGGTGGAGCACTGCGAAAGGAACAAGTGTATAATTGACAACAGCATGGTTTTCAGGGAGGAAAATCCTGTGTCACAAACCTACTAGAGTTTTATGACAATGGTGACAGAAGTAAGACAAGGAGAGAGGGGACGGGTGGATCGACTGCATTTTTTTTTGGACTGCAAAAGGCCTTCGACACAGTTCCTTCACCGAGTTACTGAAAAAGCTAGGATGATCAGGCACACTAAACTGGAAAGGCACTGCCAATGGATCAGAGAATACCTGACGGGAGGGCAACAAACGAAGTCTGGTACGTGGACGAGGTGTCAGAGTGGGCGCTTGTGACAAGCGGGGTTCCACAATGGGGTCAGTCCTATGGACCTGTGCTGTATTGGTATATTGTGAAGATTAACGGAAGGTTAGACTCAGAAGTATCCTTGTTTGCAGTGATGTTGTTAAAGCTAATGAGAAGAATCTAATCGGATGAGGATCAGGCAGGACTACAAGAGACTGGACAGGCTACAAGCCTGGTCCAGAAACTGGCTCCTTGAGTTTAAACCTGCCAATGCAAAGTTGAAGATTGGGAAAGGGCAAAGAAGCCCGCAGACACAATATAGTTTGATGGCCAAAGGACTGCAACAACCTCACTCAAGGAAGAAGATCTGGGGGTGAGTTATAACACCGAGCATATCTCTGAGGCGCAATAAATCAGATAACTGCTGCAGCATTCGGCCGCTGGCCAAACCTCGGATAGCGTTTCGATACTCAATAAGGAGTCGTTCAAGACTCTGTTACATTTACGATGGGCCCATACTGGAGTTATGGCAGCACCAGTTTTGGAATCCACAACCTAGTCAAGCACGTCCAAGGAAAATTATAGAAGTGCAAAGGTTTGCAAACAAGACTAGTCCAGAGCTACGGGGATTGTCGTACGAGAGAAGGTTGAGGGAAATAGGCCTGATGGACACTGCGAGGCCAGGAGGGTAGGGGAGACATGCTAAACGACTATAAAATACTGCGCAGAATAGAACGGGTGGACAAAGACAGGATGTTCCAGAGATGGGACACATACACAAGAGGGTCACAATTGGAAGTTGAAGACTCTCAGATGAATCAACGGGATTGTTAGGAAGTATTTCTTCAGTCATAGAGTATTCAAGTCGTGGATTAGTCTAGAAAGGGAAGTAGTGGAGGCGGGAACCAACATTAGTTTTAAGGCGAGGTTAGAAAAGCTCATGGAGCAGGGAGGAGAGAGGACCTATAGCAATCGTGAAGAGGCGGGGCCAGGAGCTATGAATCGGACCCTGCTTCCAAAATAGGTGAGTACAAATAGGTGAAGTACACCACACACCACACACACACAACCCTACACACCCTCACACCACCCACAACAACCCTCACACACCCACACAACACGCAACACACACACACACATCACACACACACACACACACACCAACACACACACACACACGCACACACACACAACACACACACATCACACACACGCACTGACACCACACACACACACAAACACACACACACACACACACACACACGGAGCGCACACATACACACAACACTCACACCAACACACACAACCACACACTCCAACACGCACACACACAAACACACACACCACACACACACACACACACACCACACACACTTGTGGTAATAGACCGATTTGTGTATTTCAGTAATATTGGTTTACCAGAGTGGTCTTGATTACCTAGTCTAGTCTATCTTGCTAAGTGCTGACCCTCTTGGTCCCTACCTACTCTGGCTTTATGTATTTATTCCTATCTACTCTGAAAACTGTGGTTAAGAGATTCTCTTCACTACATCTCTCTTCATCTAGCTCATTCCAATTATTTACACAGTGACACTGAAACATGGTCTTTCCTCACTTCCTTGTGTTGTGTCCGTCTATTGAGCTTCTTCGCGCATTTGTCTTTACAATGAAAACATTATATCTCTATCCGTCTGTTAAATCCACTGATTACTTTGTACATTGTAACCATGCATTTCCTGATCCTTTTCTCTTCTAAGGTAGTCAGTTTCTTTAATCTTTCCTGGTCTTTCGAGTTTCCACGCTGATGTTGAGATACATGGAAAAATATACGTAGAAAGTACTTAAATGCCTTGTTCCAAATCTTCATACTGCTATACCAATATACTGGAGTTAGAGATATGGGAGGAAGTGTAAAATAAACCCAGTGAAAAGTAGGGGTGCCGTGAACACAATAAGAGAACATTGTAAAAAACATCCGTGATCATAGACTATATAACGTCTTACCAGAAGATATCAGAAACACTACCGGTACAAGTGTAGAAGTCTTCAAGAAGAAACCCGAAAAATATCTCCACACGTACAGATAAACCAGACTGTGACGGATATGTGAGTCTGCGGGCCGCCAGTAGCAACAGTCTGGTTGATTAGGTAGGCACCAAATAAGCCGGGCCCAGGGCCGGGCTCTGGAAGTAGAAAAACTCTCGCAACTCATTAAAGATATGTTAGAGGTAAAAAGGTTGCGTTTTCAGACACAGTCCTGACTTAATACCGTGTGGAGAGTTTGACCTGAAGGATCATTGAATTCATTTCCGCATCTGCTATGTTCTCCTTCATTTTAACTTCAACAAGGAACTCGTAACTATACTGTATGGTCCTTATTTAGCATTCAGAGTTTTTTATAGTCTATTTCGCCTATATCAGTTGTAATTAAGGTGCAACCGGATAAATTTTTTCATCAGCTTAGCCATCCTAACCTGCAGGTTTCTGATCCTCCGTATAAATCCCTACTCTTCCAGTTAGTAGTAATAGAGATCTCTTATAAGTACTAGCTTTGCTTTAGTCATATTGGTTTTTCTTGCTTTGTAGTGAGTTTCATATCCCTGTGTTGATCTGCTGTTGTTTACTGGTGGATTGGACTGTATAACATTATTATTACAACTCGCTGTACTCTAGTGTTTGTTGTGTTTATCTCACATCTTCGCAACACCAGTTTTGTTTTGATTAATAGTTCCACTCTCCACTCCCCTGTTTACTCAATATTTTCTCGCATTAGTATCCTAATGTGATTAATGAATCTGTTATCATCCCAGTAAGAAGTTGGATTATGTGAGAGCTATGATATCTGGAGTTGTCCTAGCTATTCCTTCATTCAGTATATCAATATATTCTTTCATTGTGCTTCAGTGTGCGGTGTCCTGGCTTCCTGTTCCTTGTCCTTTCTTCAGGGTGAGGAAGAGTAGAATTAAGGCTGGTAATGAGGGCAGAGTTATGGAGAATGAAATTGGGTTATGGGAGATGGGTAAGGTTATTAGGGTACGGGTGGGAAGCATGAATATAGATGGGGAAGTGAGATAAGGTGTTTGAATAGTATTGCGTTATTATGTTTGTGTTGTAAGTGGAAGCAGAACTTCATCTCGTTTTCTTGAGGGCCTGGCAGGGCGTTGCCAAGGAGCGAGGACTTCTGGAGTCTAGGATCCCTCTCTTATCTCCTCCACTGGTTCTCCTTCCTGTGTTTGTCAGTGTTTTACTCGCTTTCTCAGTGCGCGCGCGCGCGCGCGTTTATGTGTGTGTGTGTGTGTGTGTGTGTGTACTCACCTAATTGTGCTCACCTAATTGTGGTTGCAGGGGTCGAGACTCAGCTCCTGGCCCCGCCTCTTCACTGATCGCTACTAGCTCCTCTCTCTCTCTGATCCCTGAGCTTTGTCATGCCTCGTCTTAAAGCTATGTATGGTTCCTGCCTCCACTACATCACTTGCCAGACTATTCCACTTCCTGACAACTCTATGACTGAAGAAATACTTCCTAACATCCCTGTGATTCATCTGAGTCTTCATCTTCCAATTGTGACCCCTTGTTTCTGTGTCCCCTCTCTGGAATATCCCGTCTCTGTCCATCTTATCTATTCCACGCAGTATTTTGTATGTCGCTATCATGTCTCCCCTGACCCTTCTGTCTTCCAGTGTCGTCAGGCCGATTTCCCTCAACCTTTCTTCGTAAGGACATTCCGCTGAGTGTGTATGTACTTACCTATTTGTGGTTGCAGGGATCGATTCACAACTCCTGCCCTCGTGTGTGCATGCGTTTAATATGGATAACAAACTGAAATTAGCGTAATATAATGCGGCGCATTCTTGCTATATACATATAACAATTTTATTCTTTATATGTGCACTAAGGAGCTTGTTGAGACAACTTCGTCACACCGCTGAAAGGAGTGCAACGTGGTGAAACTGGTTAAATAACAACCATTGCCATACAACGACACACCAAGAAATAATACAAACCTAAACATTATAAAAACAGTGGTAGATGCATGATATTATCCGTCGATCTGTATTAGTCGTGTTGGAAATACAACGAGAAATAAGCAACAGTTGTGCTGGGAAAGTTTGTAGTACATGGAAGGAGTAGTGACTTCTGGCATTTCCCACCTGGACCAGAGAGGCTCAGGGAGCGGCTGGTCTCAGTAGCTCGCTCACATTATAGTGTGTTGGGTATCAACTCGTATCTCCTCATACTTCTTCTTGTGAGGTAAGCTTCGTGCACTGTATGTCTAGGATAGTCATGGCAAGTCGTCTGTTATGTAGCCTCGTCAAATCAACTCGTTCAGAGTCGTGTGTTGTCTAGCATGGACCAATCCACAGGGTGGGCATCCTCTTATTTACACATGCGACTTAATATGATCAGGCTTGCGCTGCATGACCCATACTGGTTAAGAGCTTATTTTAATACGCAAGGCTCCGTAATTTGATAATGCTATAGTTTAATATCCCATTCAAGAAACATGGGTCTGATCTCAGCAATTCTGGGGCATTATGAGAAACTTTGATTTCCTAGCCTCTTATACGAATGTTGATTATATAACAAGTTTTCAGGGAGTGTTTTAATGATTCATCCTTCGGCGTGGAAGTCTCTCTCTCTCTCTCTCCATTACAAGTATCAAACAATGTGCTGATAATAGAGAAAAGCATATTTCCAATGTCATTGCTATAGGTTTGTGTCCACTTTGTAGGCTCCCCCTCAGAGGAGGTTCCTTGATGCTGTTGAAGGGCTCTTGATTTAGGGAATAGGATCCGTGCTCCTGTTCCCTGAATTGAGCCTGAATGCCTTCCATCCTCCCCACAGGCGCTGTATATTCCCTACGAGTTTAGCGCTCCCCACCTTGTAGGCTACCAAATGTATTAGCAGAGAATATACAGTACTTTGTTATACGTTCTTTGATATCATCTGGTAAAGGGATCTTGATCCAGGACACTGAAGCTACCCTCCCTATTATTGGACAGAATCTGATTGTTTCCCATCCCCCAGGCTTAGTGTCACCCCCAAGAGTTTAGGGCTTTCCCATTGTTGCATTACTGTAATAATATTCGACATACATAAAAGTTTCTAATTATTATTATTCTACGTAGCGTAAAAACGAGCAATGTGTAATGGTAACATTTTGGGCCAGTACACCATTACTTAACAAGTGAATGTTGAATAATCAGTGTTTACGTCATGTGTATACCCATGCTCCTCCAGAGTGTTACAAGGCCATACATACTAAACTGAAGACGTAAATTATCATATAACTCGAGTATCGCCTCTTATTAAGGTAGTGGCAACCATAGGAACAGTAGGAAAACATTGCAACACACTCCAAGGACCCGAGAGAGAATACGCTGTAGGCTGGCTTACCCTCTGCTGCTATTTTATATATATATATATATATATATATATATATATATATATATATATATATATATATATATATATATATATATATATATATATATATATATATATATATATACCTGGTTACCTGGAGGTTATTCCGGGGATCAACGCCCCCGCGGCCCGGTCCATGACCAGGCCTCCCGATGGATCAGGCCCTGATCAACTAGGCTGTTACTGCTGGCCGCACGCAGTCCAACGTACGAGCCACAGCCCGGCTGATCCGGCACTGACTTTAGGTATCTGTCCAGCTCTCTCTTGAAGGCAGCCAGGGGTTTATTGGCAATTCCCCTAATGCTTGATGGGAGGCTGTTGAACAGTTTTGGGCCCCGGACACTTATGGTGTTTTCTCTTAGTGTACCAATGGCGCCCCTACTTTTTATTGGCGGCATTTTGCATCGCCTGCCCAGTCTTTTACTTTCGTAGGGAGTGATTTCTGTGTGCAGATTTGGGACCATTCCTTCCAAGATTTTCCAAGTGTAGATTATGATATATATATATATATATATATATATATATATATATATATATATATATATATATATATATATATATATATATATATATATATATATATATATATGCAATAAGATCACAGTAAACAGGTGATTTTAAATTATGCAAAACAACCACTGTGAAAGAGTAGTGAAATTCCAAGCGCTTTCGTGACTACTCACATTGTCAAGATTGTTCCTTGACAATGTGAGTAGTCACGAAAGCGCTTGGAATTTCACTACTCTTTCACAGTGGTTGTTTTGCATATATATATATATTATGTATATATATATATTATATATATATATAATATATATCATATATATTTTATATATATATATTATATATAATTCTTTTGTTACTTCTATGCATTTTCTGTCCTGAGGATCCAGTATATGGGCTGCACTAATGACCATTTTGTCACTCCTGCCCCCTCCTCTCTTTCCATCCTTCCTCCTCTGTTTTCTCTTTTTTTTCCCATTCATTCATTTTTCTCTCCCTCTCTTGGTTTTATAATATATATATATATATATATATATATATATATATATATATATATATATATATATATATATATATATATATATATATATATATAGTATATGATATAATTCGTGCGAATATGTAAAATGGTCAATTAGCAGATCATTTAAATTAAGTTCTTTCTAAAATTTTTCTATATACGTTTAAAGATACATATTTTTCATTAATGCTGATGTAAAAATTATACAATTTTGCACTAAAAGGAACTTTGAAACTTACTAACCTTTTCAACAAGCGCATTTCTTTAGCCTTACCCAACTAAATATTATTTTGATTTGTTTACAATTAATTTATATCCCCTAAACAAACACAGTGAAATATATTTTTTATGTTAGGTTCAGATGATTTGGCGAAATTATTGATACAAATTTTCACTTTCATATATGGTTCAAGATGAGTGTTGCTATTTAAGCCAAGATCGCAAGTTCTGGCTATTCGGCACGACATATATATATATATATATATATATATATATATATATATATATATATATATATATATATATATATATATATATACAGATTTAGATTTTATAATTGTATAGTATAATGAAATGTATATTTCTGTACAGTAATATATATATATATATATATATATATATATATATATTATATATATATATATATATATATATATATATATATATATATATATATATATATATATGCAAGGAATTCGCAAGAGCAGGCGAAATATACACAAACACTGATCTCTGGCTGAAGGAGACTCGAACCTACGAACCTTGGAACAAGGTACGCAGTGCTTTACCAATCTACCCACACTGGACCAATACCTTGGAGTCCAGCTTGCGCTAGACTTTGATCCAAGGCAGCCAGCTTTCAGAGAGAAGGCTTACAGCTTTTCATCTCATCCCCTGCATGCATCAACCTTACTAGAGATATTAAAACTGCAAGGAATTCGCAAGAGCAGGCGAAAGTTAAGAAATCTTAGAGAACGAATGGATTTGTCAGTTAAAAACAGTAAGGGAGTTAGTAGATGGGGAGATGGAGGTTTTGGGTAGATGGCGAAAATATGTTGAGGAACTTTTAAATGTCGACGAAGAAAGGGAAGCGGTAATGTCATGCACTGGCCAGGGAGGTATACCATCTTTTAGGAGTGAAGAGGAAGAGGATGTGAGCGTGGGGGAGGTGCGTGAGGCATTACGTAGAATGAAAGGGGGTAAAGCAGCTGGAACTGACGGGATCATGACAGAAATGTTAAAAGCAAGGGGGATATAGTGTTGGAGTGGTTGGTATTTTTGTTTAATAAATGTATGAAGAGGTGGAGGTACCTAGGGATTGGTAGAGAGCATACATAAAGGGAAGGAGGACAAAAGAGATTGTAAAAATTATAGAGGATTAAGTTTACTCAGTATACCAGGAAAAGTGTACGGTAGGGTTATAATTGAAAGAATTAGAGGTAAGACAGAATGTAGAATTGCGGATGAGCAAGGAGGTTTTAGAGTGGGTAGGAGATGTGTAGATCAAGTGTTTACATTGAAGGCATATATGTGAACAGTATTTAGATAAAGGTAGGGAAGTTTTTATTGCATTTATGGATTTAGAAAAGGCATATGATAGGGTGGATAGGAGAGCAATGTGGCAGATGTTGCAAGTATATGCAATAGGTGGTAAGTTACTAAATGCTGTAAAGAGTTTTTATGAGGATAGTGAGGCTCAGGTTAGGGTGTGTAGAAGAGAGGGAGAATACTTCCCGGTAAAAGTAGGTCTTAGACAGGGATGTGTAATGTCACCATGGTTGTTTAATATATTTATAGATGGAGTTGTAAAAGAAGTAAATGCTAGGGTGTTCGGGAGAGGGGTGGGATTAAATTATGGGGAATTAAATACAAAATGGGAATGGACATTTGCTTTTTGCTGATGATACTGTGCTGATGGGAGATTCTAAAGAAAAATTGCAAATGTCAGTGGATGAGTTTGGGAGTGTGTGTAAAGGTAGAAAGTTGAAAGTGAACATAGAAAAGAGTAAGGTGATCAGGGTATCAAATGATTTAGATAAAGAAAAATTGGATATCAAATTGGGGAGGAAGAGTATGGAAGAAGTGAATGTTTTCAGATACTTGGGAGTTGACGTGTCGGCGGATGGATTTATGAAGGATGAGGTTAATCATAGAATTGATGAGGGAAAAAAGGTGAGTGGTGCGTTGAGGTATATGTGGAGACCAAAAACGTTATCTATGGAGGCAAAGAAGGGAATGTATGAAAGTATAGTAGTACCAACATTCTTATATGGGTGTGAAGCTTGGGTTGTGAATGCAGCAGCGAGGAGGCGGTTGGAGGCAGTGGAGATGTCCTGTCTAAGGGCAATGTGTGGTGTAAATATTATGCAGAAAATTCGGAGTGTGGAAATTAGGAAAAGTGTGGAGTTAATAAAAGTATTAGTCAGAGGACCGAAGAGGGGTTGTTGAGGTGGTTTGGTCATTTAGAGAGAATGGATCAAAGTAGAATGACATGGAGAGCGTATAAATCTGTAGGAGAAGGAAGGCGGGGTAGGGGTCGTCCTCGAAAAGATTGGAAGGAAGGGGTAAGGGAGGTTTTGTGGGCGAGGGGCTTGGACTTCCAGCAGGCGTTCATGAGCGTGTTCGACAGGAGTGAATGGAGACGAATGGTATTTGGGACCTGACGATCTGTTGGAGTGTGAGCTGGGTAATATTTAGTGAAGGGATTCAGGGAAACCGGTTATTTTTATATAGCCGGACTTGAGTCCTGGAAATGGGAAGAACAATGCCTGCACTCTAAAGGCGGGGTTCGGGATATTAG